GGGGGGGGGGCCTGGGCCACGCACGCTGGCGCCAGTGGCTCCACCAGCCCCCAGCATCCTTCAGCCTCTGCGCCTGCGCCCTACACCACTGCCGGTAACACCGTGCACTGTTACCGTCAGTGCTCAGGCACAGAGCCAGGGCTCTCCCGCAGCTGCGCCAGCCCCAGGGGGCACCCGGCCTGCAGGGACCCCCCCCGCCAGGGCCAACCCTGCTGCCTGGGGGTCGTTCCCACGCGCCGAGGCCATGGGCAGGGAGTCGCCGTGGGGCCGGCGGCACCCTGCCAGCCTGCGGGGCCGGGGTGCTGGGGATCCATAATTCAATGGGTGGCATCGGTCCAGCCTGCCAGCGCGGCCAGGAGCCTGGGCAGCCCTCGCCCCCACTCCCCCCCCCACCCCCGGGCACACACTTTGCTATTTTTAAAAGCGATTGGATCAACCTGTTTGGGCACCAAGCGCTCTCCCGCTCCGTGCTGGGAGGGTGGGGGGAGGACCCGGGCACTGAACACCTTCCCCTCTGGGCTCCCTGCAATGTGGCAGCAGGACCCCCCCACCTCCATCTCCCATCCCGGCCCTGGCAGGCGTGGAGGGTGCAGAATGTCCCCCATCAGCGAGACTGGGGGCGCGGGGGGCTCCCCAGGCTATTTATGCCTTCCCAGTGTGGCCGAGCCACTTGTCGGGTGCTGGATTTGGTCACACACACCCCCCCCAAATGTCCCTTGAGGGGAGCAAGGCCGTGGCGGGAGCCCGGTGAGATCCCTTCGCCATTTTAGTGCGCGCCGGCCGGCCGCAGGCAGCCGTCACATGGCGGTGAGAGCAGAGTTTGGCCCAGCCGCGCTGCGCCTGAGGAGGCAGCCAGAAATCTGCTGGCGAGCTCGCCCGGCTCAGCCACGAGGATCACCGGCAGCTGGGGGGGGTACCGAGCCCACGGCCCCTGTCTTCGCGCCCACATGCCTCTGTCAGCGGGGACACGAGGGTGCCGGGAGGGGACAGTCCTGCTGCCAGACCTCGAAGCTTGGGAAAAGTTCTTGGTGCTCCTTAGGGTGCCGTGGCTGGGACTGGGGTGCTCGGGTTGGGGTCACCCCCGCTGGGAACAGGGGTGTGGGGGATGGCGTCGGTGATGCCGGATCAGGGTGATGCTGGTGGGAGAGTGTAGGGGGCATCGGGGGGGGGTACCCAGGGCAAGCGTGTGGCCCTGCCAGGTGCCCTGGGGAAACAGGCTCCAGGCTGGGGGGGCTTTGGGGGCAGCGAAGGTCCACGTGGAGCATCTGGGAGTGAGGAAAGATCCATGTGGGGCATCTCGGGCCGGACAGGGTCCGTGCAGGGTATCTCAGGGCGAGCAATTGTGGGAGGTCCCGTGGGCCGAGCCGAGGGCCGTGCGGAGCACCGCGGAGGCCGCTGGGTGAGGGAATGGCCTGGGGGGGGGGCTTCTTAGTGGCCAAGCACCCCTGGGAGCGGGCAGCTGGGTGCTATCCCCCGGGGGCGAGCAGGGGGCTGGGGAGCCCCGAGGCGACGTCGGGGAGGGGCGCGGGGAGCCAGGCCGGCCTTGGGGCTGTAACCGCAAGACACCGCCCCGTGCCTTGGCCGGGCTCCACCGCTAACCACTTCCAGAGCCGCTGCGAGATTTGTTGTTTTAAGAGGCGAGGAGGGGCCGTGTCCGGCTGCGCGGTGCCCGCGGGCGTGCGGGGGGTCCCTGCTGCCGCTCGCCCCCTTCACCGGCTGGCTCGTGCCCTGCTCGCTCCCGCCGCCCGCTCCCACATGCTTGGGCACGAGGCGGCCTTCAAAATGGGGGGAAAAAAGGGGGAAAAAGAAGAAAAATGGAGGGGGGGGCAAAACCCCCACGCCCGTCACTGGGGGAATTTCTGCTCCCTAAAATGGCTGCCTGGAGGAAGCCAAGTGTGCGGGCCAGCGCATGGGCAAGCACGCAGGCACGGGGCTAGCTGGTGGCGGGATGCGGTGTCGGGGCGGGATGCCACAGGGCCGCTGGCGTGAAAGGGCTGCCAGGCCGGCGCGGGGGAAAGGGTGGGGAGGAGCGCCGGCAACTGGGGAGGGAGACAAAATGGCTGCATTCGGCATCGACATCAAGCGGCCCCGGGGGTGGCGAGGGTGGCGCAGAGGGGTGTTGGGGTGGGGGCATGGCTCGGCCTGGCCGGCCAAAAATAACCGCTGTTGGAGCCGTGCGTGCACGAGGGACTGGGGGGAGCATGGGGCGGGAGGGGGAGAAAAAGGGGGAGAAAAAAAGGAAAGAAAGGGAAAAAACCCCAAGCCGCAGCAGGCGGGCTGGCAGCAGCGGCCACTCTGTTTTGACGGTGTTGTTTGGATTGTCGCAGCCCTTTCCCGGCATCAGCCAAAGCTGCGAAAGAGAAACGCCAAAGGCCAAGGGGTGGGAGGAGGAGGAGGATGGAGGAGCAGGAGGAAGGACGACGAGAGGGGGAAATACATGGCGAAAGTTTTGGAAGGGCTTTGGGAGCAGCCGGGTGAGGGGCATGCGGCCAAGCCTGTGCCAGGGAGGAAGGATGCTCCCGAGTGCGGCTCAGGCCCCGGTGGGGCACGGGGAGCCAGAGGGTGCACCGGCTGTGCCATGCTGGGCTGTGCCAGTGCTGCTGAGCCCAGCGTCTGAGCCAGGTTATTTTTAGCTAAGATGGAGCAGGGACAGCAGGGGCTTCGGGAGTCAGAGCGGGTGCTGCCCCTGGGGCCCTGCTGCCCTCTGGGGGGCTTGGAGGAGGCAGTACAAGGTGCCATGGGGCAGCAAGGGCGATGCCTGTCCGTGGTGACACTGCCCGGTGGGGCAGGGATGGGTCATGGCAGCGGCTGGAGGGAGGAGAGGAGGCAGGGAGACAGGAGCTTGGCCAGGGGGCCATCACCCTGCCTCGGGGCGGGTCAAGTGCCACGGGTTTCCCTCCTGAGGAGAGCAGCGCCTGTATCCTGCATGCCAGCGTGGGGCTGTCGCCGTTCCTGTTGCCGGCAAGGAGGCCACAGGGAAGGATGGTTGCTGGCTCTTCCCCAGTGGCTGGGCAAGTGCCGGCTTGGTTGTGGCCTTTCTGTGGGGTGGGAGCCACTGGCCAGACTGTGCCTCAGTTTCCCCCCACCGCAGCAGAGCGGCGAGGGAGGCTGCCAGGGCAGTTAGCCGGCAGGTATCCCCGGCTTGTAGCGACATGGGGTGGCTCATGCCGGTGGTGGTTTCTCTTGCAGATGCAGAGCAGAGCAGCAGCCCCCGGACGGGCATCGGCTCGGACCAGGAGGACAGCAAACCCATCACGCTGGGTGAGGAGGGCGAGCAGGGCTCGGGCAAGCAGGTCAAGGGGCACCTGGCCCTGTCCCCAGGGTCCCTGCAGCAGAGGTGGCCCACTCGACAGGCGGTCATGCCCCCTGCATCGACAGCTCCCGCCAGCTGTTCTGGTGCCCACCAACCCCAGCCAGCTACTGCCTGGCACCTGCAATGACCTAGGCATAGCCTCAGCCTCGTCCCACAGCCGGCAGAGCCCTGCTGGGGCCGTGTCCCTTGGGGACAGCAGCTGTCATGGAGGTCCCATTGTAGGGGTGCAGCCCTAAGCCCTGCCGGTGCCCTCAGCCACAGGGAAACTGAGGCATGGAGCAGCCCCAGGGTTTCAGCAGCTAGAGGGGACCAGTTGGGATGGTCCCTTGCTGGAGGAGGGAAGTGGAGCAAAGCTGGCTGAAGAGGGGGGACAGGTGGCATTACGGAGGATTTGGGGATGTTGGGGTGCCCTCAAGCATCGCCACAAGACAATGCGGGGCAGGAGGAGTGGTCCTGTCCTTCCCCCAGCGCTCCCTCCTCTCTCCCATGCAGATTCGACAGACTTCCAGGAAAGCTTCGTCACCTCGGGGGTGTTCAGTGTCACCGAGCTCATCCAGGTGTCCCGAAGTGAGTGCCACCATGATGCCACCCCTCCCCAGCTGCCTGGGCACGGCAGCATCCTCACAGCTCCCCCATCCCAGCTGCGGGCTGGGGCTCCCCTCCCTGCCAGGCGGGGGGCAATGCTGGGCCCCCCCTGATTCCCCTCTCTCCCTGCAGCGCCGGTGGTGACAGGCACGGGGCCAAACTTCTCCCTGGGGGAGCTGCAGGGCCACCTGGCCTACGACCTGAACCCCTCCAGCACTGGCATGAGGAGGACACTGCCCAGCACCTCCTCCAGCGGGTAGGTGCTGCCGGGGCAATGCCAGGGTGATGCCGGGGCGATGCTGGGGCCAGCCTGAGCACAGCCGTGGGCTGCCGGCCATCTCGCCAAGGGGGAGGCGGGGGGGCAGGCCGGATCCTGCTGCAGGCTGGCGCTGATCCCTTCCCTGCCCTCCAGGAGCAAACGGCACAAGTCGGGGTCCATGGAGGACGACATCGACACCAGCCCGGGGGGCGAGTACTACACCTCCTCCAACTCCCCCACCAGCAGCAGCCGCAACTGGACAGAAGACATGGAAGGGGGTAGGTGACTCCCTATAGGGGCCTCCCTATAGGTGCCCTCCTGCTGCTATAGGGCCCCCCCAGCCACCTCACGGGTCCTCTACAGGCACCACCGTCAGACCTCCCCTGTGAAAGCCCGGGCGCTCTGTATGTGCCATGGTGTTGCTATAGGGATCCTCAAGTCAAAGCACAAGCTGGCTATAGGTGCTGTGGTGTTGCTACAGGGACCCCCAGCAAGTCACTGTTTCTCTATAGGTGCTGTGGGGTTACTACAGAGCCCCTCCATTAAGTCACAGGCTCTCCAAAGGTGTCTAGGTGTTGCTGTATCCCCCCCATTTAGGCACGGGCTCTCTCTATAGGTGCTCTGTATAGGGCCAGCCCAGTGCCCCAGCCCCACGCTGGCCTCTCCCAGCCCCACGGCGGCCACTTGGCGCTACGGACAGCTTGCTTTCTTGCTTGGCGTTTTTTTCCCTTTCCTGTCTAGACAGCCCCAATTAGCTGTTCATTAAGAAAAGGGGGGGGCTGGGCTAATTAAAGCGATGCTGCAGGGCTGGCACAGCGGCTCCCACGCCCCAGGGTGCCTTTGCAGGGCTGCAGGCGAAGGAGCCGCTCATCTTTCTCCCCCCCTTGGCTCTTATCCTGCCTCCCCGCACCCCAACAATGGGGCAGGATCCATCCTGGCCCCCCAGCCCTGCCAGAGCCTGGGGGGTGCCCAGCTGGGGGGGCTGGAGGTACCGATGCTGTCGGAAGGAGGCTTGGGGAAAGCGAGTCCTGCCCCAGGACAGTGCCCAATATGGGCCGGGGACTCTGCCCCATCCTGCCCCACCTCGGGCCCCATGGGGCTGGTGCCATGGGGTGGCAGGTGGGAGGGCAGGAGGGTCCCGGAGGGAGATGTAACCCCCTCCCCGCAGCGTTGCACGTGGGCGTGCGGGCGTGTGTGGAGGAAGGGAGCCGTGCCGGGGCGTCCCTTGTCCCCTGCCGGTGGCCTGATCCGGGGCAGGGATGAGGGGGGGCAGTGGGGGGGTTATGGCAATCCCGTACGGGATGTTCTGGGAAATCCTCCTAACCCCTGGCTGAGAAGGGGCTAAACCCATTACTGGGCCTGGGCCAAATGGCCAGAGCTAAAGCCACGGTGGCAGGGGATTAACGTGCCCACCGCCCCCTCCCGCTCGGTCCTGCGCCCCAGGGTGGCCCTTGGGGACCCAGACACCCAGTGCTCTGCGGGGGTCCTGGGGAGGGGCTGCAGGTCCCTGGCAGGGTCAACCCCCAAGCTGACACCTTTCTGCCTCCCTGGGAGCTCCTTGTGGTGGCAGGATGTGGTCCCCAGCCCCAGGGTGCCAGGCGAGGTGGGTGCCCAATGGGGACTGTGGGGTCACAGGGCACCCATAGGGGCACCCATTTCTGCACCTGGGGCGGGCACATGCACATACACAGAGCTGTGTGCACCTGCATGCACACACAAACGTGCGCTTGCATGCACAGTTGTGCACACAGGTACACGCACATGCATGCTCTGGCTGATGCCCGTGCATGAACACAAGCCTGCACACACACGTACATGTACACACACTCACACAGGTGCACACAGTCGTGCTGATGCACACACACGCATGTGTGCACATGCATGTACATATGCACATGCAGGTGTGGGCACACTCATGCACGCCCATATACCAGTGCACACACACATGTGCATGTGCACACCTGTTATACACCCCTAGAGGTGTCCACACATGTGCACACCCTCCTGCACATGTACAGATGTGTGCACACACACACATGCTCACACCCACGCACCCTCTCCATGCCCAGCCTGTCCCCAGGGTACCCCTCACCCCAGGAATGAGCACCCCAACCCCGGACCGGGCTGGCAGCTGCCTTGGGACTTTGGGGTCCCACAGCAGGTGCCAGAGCGTGACGCTATGCCCCGCTTTCCCCAGGCATCTCCCCCACCGTGAAGAAGACGGAGATGGACAAGTCCCCCTTCAACAGCCCGTCACCCCAGGACTCCTCGCCCCGGCTGAGCAGCTTCACACAGCACCACCGTCCCGTCATCGCGGTGCACAGCGGTGAGTGTCCTGGCAGGGAAACCGAGGCACAGAGCAAGTGGGTGAGCGGGCAGGGGGCTGGGGCAGTGGCTAGCTTACAGTGACGCCGGTGGGTCCCCCCTTCTGCTCTCGCCTGCAGGTATCGCTCGAAGCCCGCACCCGTCGTCTGCGCTGCATTTCCCCACCACCTCCATCCTCCCCCAGACGGCCTCCACCTACTTCCCGCACACGGCCATTCGGTACCCGCCTCATCTCAACCCGCAGGACCCGCTGAAAGATCTCGTCTCGCTGGCCTGCGACCCGTCCAACCAGCAGCCCGGACCGGTAAGGATCCGGCCCCATCCCTGCATCCCATCACTGACCTCGCCGTGGGGCGCCGGGGGCTGCTGCCGGCCAGGCTGCCGGAGGGGCGTCCCCTGGATCGTCTGCCGCCACCGCCGTCACCGCCACCACCGCCGCCACATGTGGGGGGTCGGGGTGCTCCGTTGGCACCCAGGTGCCAGCACCCAGCCCAGTAGGGTGTTCCAACTGCTGCGGTTGGGGCTGAACAGCTCCGGCCGGTGCCTTGCGTTGTTTCGGGAGCGCCGCTGCGCCTGGTCGGTGTTGGCATCTTGTTTCTCTGGCGATGGAGGTGCCGTCCCCTGGCTCAGCACGGGGTGCCACCTTGTAGGGGTGACAGGGCGGTGGGTGCCAGGCCTGAGCCGTCAGTTGGGGCTGCGGGTATCTGTTGGGAGCGGGGCATCTGGCAGGGGATGTGTGACCGTCGCCAAAGAGCCACCGTCCGCCAGCGTGCCTGGGAGAGCGATGGGCTCTGCGTGCCCCGTCCGCCCATGCAGCCAACTGGTGACTCGTCAGCCCCGCCACTGCGCCGTGTCCCCCAGCATCCCCGCAGGGGTGGCAGGGCCACACCGTGCTGCTGTACGCCTTCCCTTGCCCCAGCAGCCAGCACCCCACACACCCAGCACCCCACGCACCCAGCAACCCGTGCACCCTGCACACCCAGCACCCTGCATGCAGTGCATCCAGCACCCCATGCACTCAGCACCAGACACACCCAGCACCCCTTGTACTGACCAATGCGCACCCAGCACCCCATGCACCCAGTACCCTGCATACCCAGCACCCCACACACCCAGCACCCCACACACCTGGCACCCCATGCACCCACCCCCCCAGGCTCCCTTCATGCCTGAAGCCAGGGTCCAGGGGTGGCCACATTCCCACTCCCATGCCCTCCTGTGCCCCGCACCCCCACTCTGCCCCCCGGATGCAGAGGGTCTCAGGGAGCCCCTCTGAGCTCTGCTCAGCACCTGCCTGCTGCTCAGCAAGGCCTGATGCCAGGGTGAGGGGCACGGCTGTTCTTCTCCCGTGCAGCAGCTCAGTGCCAAGCTGGTGGAAACCGGATTCAGAGCAGCCCCCCGACCGGGTTGGGCACGGGGAACTGGTACAGGAGCCTTTGAAGGTCACCACTGTGCCACTGCTGCGGGGTGCCCCTTCCCCGCAGGTGAGCGCTTCAAAGGCCTCCTGCCGCCGCAGAGAGGGGGGCACAGTGCCCTGGCTCCAGCATGCGCCGCTATGGGGCACGGCCCCCCCCAGCCCACCCCGAACCCCCCTGCACCGCCGTGATTTCCCTGTCGCTGGCGCCGACCGTTCAGGGCTGCTCTGAGACCCAACAAACTCGTGTCAGTGGTGAGGGATGCTCTGCGCCCATGCCAGGCAGCACCGGGGGCTCACCGGGCCGGCTTTGCCGGTGCTGCACGTGCTTCCTAATGGCTTGTGCTGTTTGTTTTTCTGTCTGTGTTGTGTCCCCAGTTAAATGGAAGTGGTCAAGTGAAAGTGCCCAGCCACTACCTGCCCACGCAGATGCTGGCGCCGCCACCTCCCCCCGGCATGCCCCGCTTGGCCGTCTCTCCTGACACCAAATCCACCACGACAACTACCGAGGGAGGGACGACCTCACCGACATCACCCAGTAAGCACCCCGCGGCGCCCACCCCTCTCCCCGGCCCAGCCGGCCCCCTCCTCTCGCAGTCCCCCCAAGGTTCCCCCCCATCTCAGTGCTGCTGGGGGGATGTTGGCGGAGGTGGCCTCCCTGCAGCCGGGGAGAGGGCGGCAGCCGGCACACAGTGAGTTTGCTGGGTCTCAGGCAGGTTGGAGCGGGCAGGGTTTGGGCAGGCAGCTGTTGTGTCCCCCAAGCTGGGGGTCCTGCGCTGGTCCCAGGGACCAGCCCAAGTCCCGCATCCCTCTGAGACGGCCAGGGGAGTGGGAGCGGAGCCATGACGGGGCTCCCCCAATCCAATGTCCTGCCCAAACCCAGCCAGCGTGGGCAGGACTTGTGGGGGAGGCTGTCGCCTCTCTGTGCCTCAGTTTCCCCACCGGCCAGCAGCAGCGGTGCTGCCAGTGACATGGGGACCAGCCAGCACGGGTGTGGCTCTGGGGCCAGCATGCCTGGCTGTGCCACACAGGGCTGCCATCCTCTTGCTGCCACAGGGGTCCCCAGCTCTGGGGACCCCAATCCGGTCGGGGGCTGTGAAGTGACGCGGGTGCAAGGACTGCGTGCAGGCCCCCTGGAACCCTTGGCAGGAGGCGCCTGGGGGGCCTCGTTAGTAGTGGTGGCTGACGAGCTCATCTCCCTCCACTCTGCCTCGGGGGGTTTAGCGTCTTGGCCAGGAGGATTTTGGGGTGTTGGACCCGGGGTCGCAGAGGGGAGACACTGGTGTCGCCCCCAGGCTGGCATCGGGGCATGTGCCACAGTGGTGGGACGCTGTGCCATCACCGCACTCTGTGAGGGGTTGTCCCTGTCCCCGTCCCACTGTACCCACGGGACACCTCCTGGTACCCTGAGGCTGCCACGTCCCCACAGGGTCAAGTCCCCCAGGGGACAGGCCACTGCTGGGTGCCGCCAGCCAGCTGGCGAGTGTCGAGGTTATGTGGCGTGAAGAAACAAAGCCTGGCCGATCTGGAGGGGAGAGCCCTGTGTGGCGTGGCCCGGCCGGTGACGGGGCCAGGGCCACGGGGAAGGACCAGGCAGTGCCAGTTCCCCCCAGGCTCGGGGAAGGATGTGTGTGGGGGACACTGGCTGTCTCCAAGAGGCGCAGAGGCCAGCTGGTTCCGAGCCCCCCGTGCCCTCCTGCAACACCCTGCTTCCGATGGGGCTCAGCCCAGGAGGTTAGCGAGGCTGGGGGTCCCACCACTGGACCCCCAGCTGTGGGATGGAGGTGGCAGCGGGGGGACCTGGCCGAGTGGAGCTGGTGGCTCCCGTCGCGCTCGCCCCACAGCAGCTCCGCTCGGGAAGCCACAGCACCGGCACGGCAGGGGAGCACCCGTCTGTGCCTGCATCCCGGGGGGCGTCTCGCCCCCCCAGCCTCCCAAAGCCGCCCCTCCAGCAGGGCACAGGCACGGGCAACACCGCCCTGAGCGCAGCACCCCTGGCCTCCACTCGCCCGCCGCCGGGGCGCAGCCAGGGACGTCGCCCAACCGCCAGCTGTGGGTGCCCGGGACGCCCGTCCCAGCAGCACCAGGGAGCGGGCCGGGTTTGGCCCCAGGGGGGACAATGGAGGTGCCGCCGGCAGCCCCGTTAATGAGCTCTCGTTTGTTCCCCAGCCTACTCTGCACCAGGCACGCCCCCTGCGAACCGTTCCTTCGTGGGATTAGGACCAAGGGATCCTGGGAGTATCTATCAGGCACAGGTGAGAGCGGGGATGCTGCTGGGGGGACCCTCCTGCCCTCGCCCAGGGCACCACCGCCGTGGCATCGCCGTGGGCATCGCCGCCGTGGGCATGGCCATCGCGGGTATCGCCGTCGTGGGTATCGCTGCCATGGCGTTGCTGATACGGGCATCCACACCACGGCATCGCTGCCGTGGTATTGCCGCTGTGGGCATCGCCACCGTAGCCATTGCCACAATGGGCATCACCATCGTGGCATCACTGCCATGGGTGTCGCCACCATGGGCATGGCCGTTGCAGGCATCGCCATCATAGGCGTCACTGCTATGGCATTGCTGACATGGGCATCCCTGCCACGGCATCATTGCCATGGCATTGCTGCAGTGGCATCACTGCCTTGGGTATTGCTACCATGGGCATCACCACTGTGGGCATAACTGCTGTGGGCATAACTGCTGTGGGCACCGCTATCGTGGGCATCACCGCTGTGGGCATGGCTGCCGTGGGCATTGCCACTGCAGGCACTGCTGCTGTGGGCATCACTGCCTTGACATCGCTGCCATGGGCATTGCCGCCATGGCATCCCCACCATGGGCATCAATACCTGGCACCCTGTGCCAGGCCCTCGGGCGCTGCTGGTGGCTGAGGGCCACCAAGGGTCCCCCACTGCAGAGGGAGGTCACTGCCATGCCCACGCCTGGCACCTTGCCCTCCCCTCGCCAGGCTCCAGCTGTGCCCCGCCTGGCACTGTGGCACAGCCAGGCTGCCCAGGTGACCGCAGCATCCCCGAACAAGGGGCACTGGAGCCGTGTGGCCCCTCTCCAGGTCGGCACGGGCACCCTGCTTTTGCCCGACTGCGCCCGCCGGCTGCTTCAGCCGCAGTGGGATGTAGCGTGCGCCTTTCCAGGGACTTTTTGTTAGTCCTGGGTGTTTTTTAACAGGTAGTTTGTGAGCCAGCGCCAGCACTATGGGCAGTGCCGCAGGGCCAGGGCAGGAGTGCCGGCACCTTGCCTCATTTGTGATACGAGTTGGCCGGCCTCAGCTGTCCCAGCAGGGGCAGCTTTGGGAGGCTGCAGCCCTGCCCGGCAGCTGACGCCAGTGCCAGGGCAGCGGGATGGGTGTGTGGATGGCACCGTACTGGGGGCACTCTGGGGTCCTGCACCCACTGGGGGCGAATACTCAGGGCACTGAGCCATGCCATGGGGCACCCAGAGGTGCTGTGCTTTGCTAGGGTGCAAGCACTTGGGGACCATCAGCTGTGCCATGGGGCACCCAAGGGTGCGGTGCTGTGCCAGGGTGCAAACACTTGGGGACCGTGAGCTGTGCTGTGGGGCGCCCAAGCGTGCTGTGCTGTGCCAGGGTGCAAGCACTCGGAGGCCATGATCTGGGACACCCAAGGGTGCTGTGCTGTAGCAGGAGGCAAACACAGCCTCCTGCCCAGCCTCAGTTTCCCTAATCCTACACGTGGGCAGAGCACAGTGGGGTGGGCACCCTGAGGCTTTTAGGTTCCTAGAGAGGAGACATGGGGCAGCGCCAGGAGAGCCCCGGGGGAGCAGGGTGCCGGGGTCCCTGCAACCCGCAAACCCGTGGGGGTTATGGCTGCTCGCAGCCCCAGGACCCCAGGGTCCCTGTCCCTGCGCACATGTGTCAAATCATGCTCTGGGAGCCTCCCCAGGGCTCAAGGATGCTCTGCATGGGGAAACTGAGGCACAAGGGAAACGAAGTGGTGTCCTGCATCCCAGGGCGGGGTAGCTGAGACCTCCTGCTCTTGTGTCATGTGTGGCGGGGCCGGGAAGGGTTAAGGGAAGCGGCGGCCCCGAGCTGTCTCGTTGCCAACGGAAACCAGACATGAGGTAATCGGGGACGAACTTGAACTTGGGGCTGAGGGGGCAGACAATGGGAGGGTGGCAGGGGGCCACCCCACAGGGTCCCCAGCCTTGCCACCCCCCACCCGTCCCCAAGTGGGATCATTCCCTGGGAAGCATTGCCTTCGCCGCGGAGGTGCAGAGGGACCAGCAACCAAGGGGGACACGGGTGGCCCTGGCACAGAGGGCTGACAAACTCAGTGCAGGAATGAGGATGCCATGCAGAGCAGCAAGGCAAAACGAGCAGGGTGACAGCGTGGGGACAGCTGTCTCCGGGGGGGGACACATATGCCAGGGGGGCACGGAGTGGCTCCATGTCGCAGAGCACTAATGCCAGCCTCTGTCTTCTCTCCTGGCAGTCCTGGTACCTGGGATAACCGCCGCCGTGCCGCCCCTTCGCCTCCCTTCTCCTCTGCTTTAGGCACCCCCAGAGGAACATCCCCGTCCCCGAGCACCAGGCCCAGCCTTGCGGTGACGACGGAGAGCGCGGACTCACGACGACGATGACGACGACGACAAGCAAAACCCACACCCGAAGGAAAGAGCGAGGGAAAGGAAGAAGGAAAAGGGTCAAACTTTTTTAAAAAGGAAAAAAAAATACAAACAAAACAACAACCCAGCCCAGGAGGACCTTCCCCCCCACCCCAGCGATGCACCAGAAAACAAAGAAACAGAAAAAAAAAGAAAGAAAAACACTATTATTTGCCCCGTCGGCCGGCGCCGCGCCGAGACCTGACACAACTCGTGCCAGTGATGCCTCCCGGAGCGGCAGCGGGGCTGCGGCGCCAGAGCCCTGCTGGCCACTTGCCGGAGGGTCGGATATGCAAACGGCTCTTGACTCTCTCATTCTTGCCTCTATGTGAGTAGAAAAGATCAAACCCCCCCACCCACCCCCCACC